TAGTTTATGATTCTGATTATATGGACTTATTTTTAAGTCTTTCTGAGGTTGAGAGGGCAGAATTAGTTAGAGGGAGATTGAGGGGAGATTTTTGAGAGATATATAAGATGATGCATGGTAAATGAAACATATTTTTTGGTTTTTTTTTTTTTTTAGTCTATGAAACACTTGTGTTACTCTTATCTGTTAAGCTTAAGTTTAATTATGTTTTTCATGAAAAATGTTATTTGGTTAATGATTACATTTTATTGTAATTGTCAAATTTTGAAAATTAGATGTATATGTATAAGATTGTCCACATTAAAAAATTATGGTAAAAGGAATAGACACGCAATTTGTAGGTTGATCATAGCCATTATGTGTTGAATGAGTACCATTCATGAAAGATTATTTAGGATATGGATGAGCGTATCACATTTCTATTTTTATTTTATTTGTTGTTTATTATTGATTTTTATTATTTTTTAGTGAATTTTTTTATTATGTGATTCTTTATGACTATATTTACTAAATATTTAATCTAATTTGTCAAATTTTAAAATTAATAGAAAAATTCATTATAATGAAGTATGCAATAAGTTGGAAATTTTATGATAAAAAATTATTTTGGTTAAATTTCATTTCATTCCAATAGAAATTATTTTATCCAAACTTCTATTCCAAGACTTAATTCTAATTAACTGTCAAACATTGGAATGGTAATACACATTTCATTTCATTCCCAAGTTTATTCCATTTCCATGTTCATTCTATTCTTATATAAATGCATTACTGCGTACCAAACGTATTGTAATACTACGTACTAAACACAGTGTTAGGGTTTAACTAGATTCATTAGTAAAACAATTTTTTAGTTGCTAGATATTAGATAATAACTGTCACGCCCCAAATTTCATAAAAGCGTGATTAAACCAAATACTTTGTTTATTTAAAAAAAAAAAAAACACATGCCGGTATGTTGTAAAAACATCTAGGAAAGTATCTCTTTAGTTAAAATAAATCAAATTTTTTTTTGAAAATTTTGGCAGAGTTTCCTTTGAAAATTAAGTTTTCAACCAATTAGTAAGAGTATTTCTGTGAGAGTATAACATAATTTAAACTAATTAAACATCCACAACATGCCTCCATTCAAAAATATAATCCAACTAAATCCGGGGTAACAATTAGAGGCCCACGAATTCCTCCTAAACCCGGATACATCCAGCACCAATATATATCACAACTTAGTACCCAAAGTCATAACTTTATATTACAATACCCAAAATAATAATCCCTCTATGGGATGATCAAGTGTACACCAAAAATGCCTCAAGACAACCTTTTCAAATACAATGCTTGAGTTCTAACATTTCTATATAAGTTCTAAAGGTGAATACAAAAAAACTCTAAAAGAGATTTTTTCTAGTCCAAACTCCCACAAGCATTCCATCACTTATGTCACAGGATGCATGCTAGTCTCTGAAAATATTAGTAAGGGATGAGCAACTACATGCTCAGTGGGATAATCATTTTCCCAAGCATTTACAAAGTTTTAAAAACCAACATTCCACAAATCATACGAATAAGTAATGAAATCTTTCTATAATTAAATACATGTACAAGATAATAAGTAAAACATTTATAAACATCTCTCAACACCTCAACATTAGAAATATACAAGGTATAAATTAAAGCCCAACATTATAGCAAATACCATGCATGCCTCGCATACGGACAATGTAATCAATCACACCGGTTTTCGTATGAACTATCCCCGGGGAATTTTTTGGGTCTTACACCCTAGGGTCTCATCGTCCTTCTTACTTTTTAAGGGGAATGTGTAGGGCACAACTTGTGATGCCACATAGGTCATCACCGAAAATCACTACCATAATCAATCCCCCTTAGAATTAGTAGTCGTCTTAGCAATCCACTCCATAGGCCCAACCGTCTACTAACCATCTGTCTGTCAGTATCGAGTATATATTTTCTAAAACTCATTATTTTCTATATCCATAAATTCTTTTAAAAACTTATGTCACAACCTTGACATTTTATCAAACATATAGTATACTCAAATCTCAAAATTTGTATTTTTAAAGCAACATAACCAATTCCAAGAGAATAAGTCATATATATTATGTACAAAATCATAGCATACTTCAAAACTCTCAAATCATAAGTTCAATCAAATACTCATAACTAAAATCAAACTAGGTTTTCAAACCCACCACAAAATTAATTTTATTTCCAAGAAAATATGTAATATATATTATGTACAAGGTCATAGCATACTTCAAAACCCAAAAATCATAGGTTTAATCAAATGCCCATAACTAAAATCAAACTAAGTTTTCAAACCCATAACCCAAAAATCATTTTTATGCATGAAGGTTCATAATCCATGACATATTCGACACTAAATCAAGGTTTATAACAAATAATTTTGTCATCCAACACATAGTAAGCTTTAACTAAAGAAAATAAATGAGATGTACATTATAAATGCAAGAGAGAGGAAAACCCTATCTAAGAATCAAGAATTCCAAGCCAAATTCTTAGGATTTTCAAGCAAACTCCAAGCTTTATGGACCTTCTTCTTCCTCTTTCTCTTTCTCTTTGTCTTCTCTTAGGGTTCTAAGAGGTCTTGTGTGAGAGATATGAGAAAAAATGGAAGAAAAGGGGCTGAAATTTAGGTTTTAAACTCAGAAGTCCCGAACTCTACTGTTCATGAGCTGAAAAATATATTTTTTCTCCGAAATTATAGTTTTGTCACTAAACATTATAATTTTGATTCATATGACTATCTTAAGGTTTTTCGACGTTCCGAATTCATTTTTAATATTATTTTAACCTAAAAACATTTAGTTTTATGATTTATCTCAAAACTAAAGTTAATTTACATCCGACACATTATAATTACTATTTTACCCCTCCGAACCGCTATATAAGCTAAGCATCCATTCCAAATTTTTCGGACCTCTTGGATTCAATAGTAATATTATTTTGACTTAAAAATATTAATATATTTACTTAATTACCCTTATCAATCTTAAACACCTCCAAAAATTAAATTTGACACAAAAATCAATACGTTTGTACTTCAAGTTTACACGACTATTCTTTTAACAACGATTTAAAGTTTCTCTCATCATGTTAATTATTTTAAAAATACTAACAAGTTGATATCATTTATATTTATATAACACACGGGATCTGACAATAACTGTTGGGACCGGATAATATTTTTAAAAAAGCAATACTATCGAAACTGAAAAATTGATCTAATGATATGATAAATGATAAAATCTCAGAAGTTCAACAATAACTAACCATTACAACAATACTATCTAAAAATGTGATGGCTTGCAGTGAGAATCTTTTGTGTTTGATTATCTTGTTTCAAAAGGGAATTAGTACTCAGTGTCGACACAGGAAACTTCTGAAAGCTATGTTGGTGATCTTTTAGAGCAAAATTGGAGAGCTTTTTATGCTTTTCTTCTTGTGTTACGGTACTGTAAAAATCTTTCTTTTTGTTCCTCAATGTTGTTAGATACCATTTGATAACCCCCCCCCCCCCCCCCCCCCCCTTTTTTGTTTTTTTGAAAGTATGTCTCTTAACAAGAGAACAAACTCAAGGGCGACCCGATACACTCTGGGGCCTTAGGTGAAAGTTGTAAATGGGCCCTTTTAAATTTTAATATTAGTATATAAACAGTATAATTGGAATTTTACGTAAAAATTATTCTTTTATCTTTTTTAGATGTAAAATTGATTGTAAGTAGGACTTCATCGGTTTTAATTTTAGATGTAAAAACTATTATTGGACTTTAGTTACAAATATAAATTTAACTTGTCAATGTCACCAAATTGATCACGTTATACAAAATTCTCAAGATTTTGAATATCTCCTTTCTTATTTGTGAGATAAAAAAATAATTCTTTAAAGTGTCAAAGAATAAGAGAAATAGTGAGGAAGATACTATTCGGAAGGTGGCGTTTCATTTTTTTTGGATTTGAAGAAACAATTATATGCAAGTATAAATGAGAAAAAAATATTTTCAATTTATACCCTTTGATATTCAATTGATATGGTCTAATAATGTAATTATAATTAAAACCCTTGAACCTAATTGAGACTATATCATTAGGTAGATGATGGTGTGACATGCAAGAGTACACAAATAGTTACATTGTATCCGTTTGAGAAGAGGAGATTTGAGATTTTAGAGAAGATTAAAAGACCAAAAAAAAAATACTATTTTTTGTAATTATTCTAAAAAAATGGGGTCCCTTCTCAAATGAGGCCCTAAGCCACCGCCTAAGTTGCCTTACACTTGGGCCGGCACTGTCTAGACTAAACGATCATTGGCGTTCAGCGTCCCTCCCCCCCTTCCTCCTCCCGCGCGCACACAAACAGAGACAAGGTACATCTCACGCCTATGAACCGTTATAACTATCTAAGAAGACACTCGAAACTAAAAAGAAAAATTATTAACCAAATATGCTAAATGTGGTCTTTAGTTACAATATCATTCTTTTATCTATTTACAAAATGTCAAATACTACAATTAAGGTCACATAATTGACCTGGTGTCACATTGTGTTGAATATCCAGTACTATCAGACTCCACATTAACATACAAGTTTTTTGTTTGACTATTATTTCTTTTTCTTTTTCCACCTATGCATGATGAGAAACAAACCTAGTAAAAAATGTACATTTGTCCAATTTATTCAAGTAAAAAGGTTTAGGTCATTGAAAGAAATGTTGCTTATCACAGACTGACCACCAGTTAGATTCCACTCAACAAGGTTACATTTTGGCACATCAAACAGCAAACAAAAACATTTCACTAGACATTTGAGACGACAATATAACTCGAAAAACCAAACCACCGCAAACATACTAGATTGTAATCCTATGCTACCAGTCCTTAATCAATCAAAATACAGAATTCAGAAACATGAAAATGCCAAGTTCTCCAAGAGATTTAGAGGCACAGAGAGAGTTTTACTGCTCAATTAGTGCCACCAAGGATAGCCTTGAGCTTCTTCACTTGAGCCTTATCAAGGAAAGTGGCCTTCACCACCAATTCAATAGGCAAATCGTTTGCAAACAACGCGAAATCAGTGATTTGGAGACCCGGATTGGGGCTACTGAAGCTCGCAAATGCAAGAGCAGGTATTTTCTCTGAATTCAATTGGAAGTGCAATAATCCCTGTGGAAAAACCATTATATCTCCTTTGTGAAGAGTTTTATAATAGACAGCATTGGCTGAAGATATGAACCCTGCAAGAATACTCCCTTGGGTAACAAGTAGGACCTCTGATGCTCCAGGGTGTGTGTGCAATGGAATGACACCACCCACAGCGAGGTCTAACCTCGCCATGGACAGGCCAAGGCCATTGACACTTGGAAATTGAGCGACAAAGGCCGGGGTCACGGCTGCTTTGATGAGATTGCTAGTGTTGCCGGCAACACCCAAGCCGGAGAAAACAAAAGCGTCCACGGTGATTGTGGAAGGCTTCTTGCAAGGGTAACCTGAAGGAGTATCTGACAATGATAGGTCTGCGACGCAGAAGTCTTGCACTGAAGCTTGAGAGGAGGAGAACAGGAGTGCAAAGGTGAAGAGTATTGTGAGAAACATCTTCATCAAGTGTGTGACTGTGTGTTAGGCCTTTAAGAATGTTTAACTTTGATGGGGTTTGATTCATTATATAGAAGGTGATAGCAAGGGCCGTCAAGTGGTCATGTTGTTTTCTATTTTTAAGTCATGTATGTTGTATTATGTCAAAACTTGTTTAACTAATATCTAATTCATTTATAAAATCATGTGTAGTCAAATTCGTCTTGTGTTTAGTTAAATTTGTGTCGATAGTTATACTTAACATATTTGGCCTGTTCACTAATTTACTATTTGAATTCGCTAAGACTAAACTTAAGCTCACTAACTCGTGTTGGATTCAGGGGTTGTGTGGTGAATTCATACGCTTAGTGATACCAGGATATATTATTGGGGACTAATAGTATCAATCCCTAAAGATGTGGCCATGAAATCTATCACGGGCATACACTGTAGATTAGGAAGGAAAAGACAGATTCTTGGCTGTGAAGCATTCAAGTCTATGATTTTTATCAGACAAAAACAAGAAAAGCCACTTTTTGTTTGGACTGTAGGAAAAGAAAAGCATATTCCGTCAATGTAAAAGATATTCATTCAAAAATAAGTATATGGTTAACAAAAGTTTAAAACAACCCTTTTTTGAGCAAGGCTTTAGAGCATTCTCACTTGTTTTGATATTCTAATTGATCCATCCATTTTCTAGTGTGTATCTATTCTTTCGTTGGTTGTCGATTCTAAATAGTTAAAACAAGACTCGGGTTAGTTGAATTTGGATATGTTTTCTTCCTCCGTATGCTTTGTGTGTCATATTCATATATAGTAATTAACTTCCATACAAATTGTTTATGTTAGAACTCCGTGGGTTTAGACCTGACCCACCTAGGTTTGAGGCTTTCTTCCAAACTCTAGCATTTTAACCTATTATTTCAAACCTCAGTACTTCTTTTATAATTTCACTGTCAAATACAACTTTAAGTAAACATGACAATAAGATATAGTTAAATTTCAAAGTTAAAACAATACTTGCTCGGAGTAGGTATGCTTGAAAAACACAACTTTAATACAACATTAGGAATCGAAATCAAACTTGTAATTTAACAACAATCTATCCCACAAACAAGATATTGATCCCTGTCTCTAAGACCATTGTGGCTTTACAATTTTTAGTTTCCTTTGTTAGTCTGTTAAATGTTGTTAGAAACTATTATGCATATAGATGCAAAACAAATATCTTGTCAATCAATTTTAGGAGAGAATATGAACACATGTAACGCGGTTTTGAACATAAGAGTCTAAAGACAGAAAGAAAAAATGCAAGAATGTGGTCCATGAGCACGAGGAAGATAGAATTGAGGGCATAAGAAGACATTTGACAACTAAAAGGAGTCTCTGCAAGTCTTTCTGATCTTTGTCATTTCTTGAAAAGCTTTCCATGAAACAAATGAGTGGATATTAGAGGTTCCCTATCTTCTAGGGTGTACGGAATTCATTTAACAAAGTAAATACTTTCCTGTTGTGTTTTCTTAACTGTAAGATTCTTCGAGGATCAACCTTCTTGTTAATAGTAGGGATTTACCTATATTTTTCTTACTTTTTACAGGTCAAACAGAGGAGAACAATATCTAGTAAATAGCTAATATGCCAATTTTAAAGAGCATGCATGAAAATTATCGTTCCACTTTTTCATTATAATAAATAGGCCGTTAGAGTCATTTTCAATATTTTGAAATCATAAATTTTTGAGTCGAATCACTTAATCTCTCATATTATGCATTTTTCTATTTCGCACCAATTTTAGTTTGTAATCTCGTGCATAAACAACCTCCTAATTTCTAAGAGCACTCATATTAAATATGCATGTTTACATGTAGGGATATACTATTCTTGTCAATTCAGGATGTAAAAATACACAAGTAAAGGCATCTTCGAAACTATGCTCAGCTTATGGGGATTAGAATTGGCTTGTATGGGCACACTACAACACAAAAGAAATGACAAAGGAGATTTGAGTGATTCAGAAAGGAAAAACTGTTAAAGGTCATCTAGAAAATCCACAGGCATTCAAAACATTTCACTTGGAATAATTGTGAGTAAAAGGAGATACTCAAATTAAGAGTAAAACTCCGTATATATAGGCAAAATATAAAAATCATAGTAAGAGTAAAAAAGGAAAAGAAATCATAATAAACCTAGGAAAAGAAATCCTAATAAACCTAGACTATCTATACTCCAACACTCTCCCTCAAGCTAGGCGCAAAAATGTCAACTAAGCCAAGCTTGACAACGGAGTCCCGAAGAATAGACAGAGTGACAGGTTTGGTAAAAACATCCGCAACTTGATCACTGGTCCCCACAAACGATGGAGTAACAAGACCACTGCTGACCTTCTCCCGAAAAAAGTGAACATCGATCTCTATATGCTTCGTTCTCTCATGTAGTACAGAGTCAGAAGCGAGCTGAATAGCAGATTGATTATCACAATATAATGTGGATGGAGAGGTCACTGAAAAACCCAACTCGTCAAGAATCGATCGTAGCCAGATAATCTCACATGTGCCAAGTGTCAATGCCCGATACTCTGCCTCTGCGGACGAGCGGGAGACAACTGCCTGCTTCTTGCTCTTCCAAGAGATAAGATGAGTCCCTCGAAAAGCACAGAAACCCGTAGTAGATCGACCATCACATGCTCCTCCATAATCTGAATCTGAATAACAGGCTAGAGAACCGGTCTGAGATCCTGATGCATAAAACAACCCAAGTCCAGGACCAGACTTGAGGTACCGAAGAATATGATAAACTGCATCAAGATGAGGCTGACATGGCCTATGCATGAACTGACTAACTCGGCTGACTGCGAATGAAATGTCCGGCCTAGTATTGGCTAAGTAGATAAGTCTACCTACCAATCTTTGATAAACTGTCGGATCTTTCAACTCCTCACCTTCAGCAGTAAGCTTCAGGTTTGGAATCATAGGTGATAATGCCGGTTTGCACCCCAACATCCCAGTGTCTGAAAGAAGATCCAAAACATACTTTCTCTGAGAAAGAACAATACCTCTGCTTCTACGGGCAACCTCAATCCCAAGAAAGTATCGCAGAAATTCAAGATCCTTCACATCGAAGGCCTTCCCAAGGTCTATCTTGACCTGCGCAGTCCCAGAAACATCATCACCAGTAATAATAATATCATCAACATATACCAGAAGGATGACACACTGTCCAGAAGTATTCCGTCGAATAAAGCAGGTATGATCAGAATGACACCTGGTGAACCCCAATCGTATGACTACATCACTGAAGCGAGAGAACCAGGCTCGTGGCGACTGTTTCAGTCCATAAAGAGACTTACGCAGTCGACATACCTTTCCAGCATACTCCCCCTCACCACGAAAGCCCGGTGGTGCATCCATATAAATAATCTCGTCCAGATCACCGTGAAGAAATGCATTCTTCACATCTAATTGATGAAGAGGCCAAGAGTACTCCGCAGCCAGAGAAATAATTAACCGAACAGTAGTCAATTTTGCCACGGGGGCAAATGTAGCACCAAAATCACGACCTGGTACCTGAGTAAAGCCCTTCGCCACAAGTCTAGCCTTGTAACGATCAATAGTACCATCCGCAAGAAACTTCAGGGTGTAAACCCAGCGACAGCCAACAGGCTTCACCCCTGAAGGTAAGGAGACAAGATCCCATGTATGATTACGCTGAAGAGCGTCCATCTCTGTCTGCATGGCAAGAACCCACTGGGGCTCCCGCATAGCTTCCGAAATAGAGCGAGGAACCAGCGTATCTGATAAGGCCATAGTATAAGCTCGAAATGTGGGAGACAGATTACCATAAGAAACATAAGCAGAGATCGGATATAAAATCTTTGCGGTCCAACCATATCGATCAACTGGACGGCGATCACGCCTTGGATAACGACGCCCTAAATCACCATCCTCTACTGATAATATCTTATCAGGTAAAGTAACTGGCTCAGCACCTGTAATCTCATCAGTACTAACAACAGGTGCATCAATATGCTCAACAAACTGAGAAGTATTACCTGCATCGCCTGAGGTAGAGGGGATATCAGCAGGGTGATGAGAGCGAGGACAACGAGCATACACCTGCAAAGGAAGAGAGACTGGTAACTCTGTACTGACAGGGATGAGTGACTCCTTTGGAGGAAAAACGGATGACCCTGTAGGGATAGTGATCAATGACTCTGACTCTTGTGGTAATGAAAAATCAAAGGGAGTATCATCAACTGGAGGGGCAGACAAAGGACTGAAAGGAAAATAAGGAATATGCTCAAGAAAGGTAACATCTAGACTGTGATACATACGACGCCTAATAGGATCATAACATCGATACCCCTTAGATTGATGACAATAGCCCACAAAGATACAACGAATCGCTTTATCATCAAGTTTATGACGAGTAGGAGACCGATCCTGAACAAAACATGTGCATCCAAAAACACGAGGGGGGACCGGAAAAAGTGTCCTCTCAGGAAATAAGACCTGTAAGGGAGCCTTATGCTGAAGAACACGACTCGGCGTACGATTGCACAGAAAGGTAGAAGTCAAAACAGCAAAATGCCAATAAGATTTTGGTACCCTCATGCCTCTAAGCAGACAACGTACCATCCCTATCAAACTCCTATTTTTCCTCTCAGCAACACCATTTTGCTCAGGAGTATATGGACAAGTGAGTTGCTGAAGGATACCCTGAGAAGAAAGGTGAGACACTAAAGCATCAGACACATATTCTTTGGCATTATCCGAACGAAGAGCACGAACAATGACATCGAATTGTGTCTTAATCATCTGTAAAAACTGAGTGATTATAGGGAGCACATCAGACTTCCTATGCAAAAGGTAGACCCAAGTACAACGGGTATGATCATCTATAAATGTCACATAATATCTGGCACCTGACAGAGCAGTAACGGGAGAGGGTCCCCAAATATCAGAGTGTATTAGGTCAAATAGCTTGGGTGACTGGTGCATGCGAGGAATATAATTGGCCCTAACATGTTTTGATAGGGAACAGATAACGCAATCAAGTTTACCACCAACACAAGCATTACTCAAAGCAGGAAACAACATACATAAATATTTAAAATTTGTATGTCCAAAACGGTCATGCCACAATTGAACAGTTTGTGACGAAAAATCATAACGACAACTACTAGGTAAAATACTAGCATACAAGCTAGGAACAGAAAAAGACAAAGCAGGTGCAGGTGAAGGAATTGGTGAAACTGGAGATGGATTGCCAAGATAATACAGTCCATCTTTCTCATGTCCCTTGATAATAATCCTCCTGGTACTCAGGTCCTGCAAATAACACGAATCAGATAAGAATACAACCGCACAGTGAAAATCTCTGGCTAACTGATGTACAGATAATAGATTCATGACCAACTTTGGCGCATGAAAAACCGAATGTAATGTAAGGCCATCTGGGAGACGGACTGTACCCCTACTAACAATAGGGGCATGTGTTCCATCTGCTAACTGAACCTGTGTATGTAATGGCTCGTCAAAATTGGTGAAGTGATGGGCCTCACCTGTCATGTGACCATTCGCACCCGAGTCCAACATCCAAAGGGGAGATGAACTGGCACAAGCGTGAAAGGCACGAGATATACCTGTAGTGGTGACAGCAGCAGTAGTCAGACTCTGAGAAGTCAGAGCAGACATAAGTATATCTAATCGGGAAGTGATAGCATCCATATCACTTTGCCAAGGAGGAGCAGTAGCAGGAGTGGCGGCAGTGGGCGGTGGTACCTCAGCAATAGCAACAGTACGACTGCGAGAAGGTGGCTTAAGCTCTGGATGGAGCTTCCAGCAAGTAGCCCTGAGATGTCCTGGTCGGCCACAATAATCACATTGACGAGAATCCCCCCGTCTGCGCTGATCTGGGGCGCCCTGACGGCGTTGGTCTGAGCGTTGCCTATCCCTGACTAAGGATCCTGAACGGGACCCTACAGCAGCTGCAAGGGAGATCATGCCCGGTAATGCTGGTAATGCAACTGTGCTAGTAGGCACTGTATACTGGTCAAACATAAAAGTGGAAGTACCCATAGATGTCTCAACGGTAGAGGTGTCAACAGTAGGGTTCTCAAGTCCCTCAGTAGTAGCTATATCAACAACAATACTAGGGCACCCGTGACAAAAAAATAACTCTAAGATAAATAGAGGAATAAAATAAGGGAGAACAATATACCTTCAGTCGAACAGTAGCGACAAATAGGGAAGGTCCAAAAAGCTCCCAAATAATCAAGTCACGGTGCCCAGAAATCCAAAATATATAAATAAGTGATCTACTGCATCAAGGGCAGATCAACAGAAAAGAGGATCCGCTCCCTCCCAAAAAAGTCCTAGAATAAAATCACAACGAAAGTTGTGACCCAGCAGTGGGCTGGACAATGATCTATTATTATTATTATATGGAGAATGGGTAAAGGGCGCGGGACAGGATATATATGGTCAGTCGGTTGGACAGTGGGCTGGTTTTGCTTAAAGGCAGTTTGCCGGTGAGGCAGTCTCGGTGGAGGCTAAGGTTGGGGAGAAGGTTAGGGTTTGGGGTAGGGTTAGTGTATGGCTCTGATACCAACTTGGAATAATTGTGAGTAAAAGGAGATACTCAAATTAAGAGTAAAACCCCGTATATATAGGCAAAATATAAAAATCATACTAAGAGTAAAAAAGGAAAAAGAAATCCTAATAAACCTAGGAAAAGAAATCCTAATAAACCTAGACTATCTATACTCCAACAATTTCAAATTCTTGGATTTTTCGTCGAAGAAGAGGATAAGATTGCGAGTGAGCAATGAGCATTAGTCGATAGCAATTCAGCTTTTTGGAGGCAAAAAAAAACACCACTGTGTTTTCTTGGGCAAAAAAATAAAGCAGCGAACTGCACACGAGACTTCTGACACTATAAAAAGATTGTTCACATAACTCGAATTCATGACACCCACGATTAAGAGGAAAGAACCTTGGATAAGGATACAACAGTATTTTAATTTACTTTTTCCTACCTTTCAGACAGCTTGGATCATGGACAATTCACTGCAAATGTACCAGTGGTTCAGGATGGAGACTTACAAGTTATTCAAACATGTTTGATGTCATAGTGGATGTTTCTTATTGGGCAATGGAGAAAGAGGATGTGACAAACCTGGATGTGGCGGTATCTGATCGAGAGCTGCTGGCCTTCCGGTGTGCACAGTAATTTCATGAACTCCGGAGCTTGCAGCAACATATAACAGGAATTTCTTGGAACATGTTAGTTTTGAAAAATGGGACACCAAAGAGACATCAGGCTTACATAGAAAGATTTACCTTTGCAATGTTTAATGAAATCTCAAACCTGAAGGTGTGGAACAAAATTTTGGACTTTTTTAACCTAGCATGGAGCTTGTTTATCCTCTCTTGACCCCTATTTTGAGACTACATCTAGTGGGTTGCAAGGAAATCAGTTAGGAAACAGTGTGCCATCCAAGTGCATAGTGAAGTTTAAGTTCAATGTTAATTCTAATTACTCTTTTTTAGGTTCTCCAAGTAGGGTTTTGACTCAGCCATTTTGTTTTTTCTTCTTTCTTTTATCCAAAAGGAATGAGAAAAAACAAATACTGCATCTGTTGGGAGAGCAATCATGGCCTCAGATTTCAAACTACTGGGACCTAATACACGTACACACAAAATACACAATCAATTTTGTGTTTAAGAACGATATTCAATAAATCAAGCCCTAGGGTACAAATACAATCTCCAATACATAAGTGCGAGCGTCGATAGGGTCGGGCTCTTTCTTGTTGTCTAACATTCCACACCATTGTATTTAAAGCCAAAGGGTTCTCTGGCCCTTCATTGTACAAAATGTGGAGAATATTGCATATATCATACCATCAACATCGTTCCACTTAGAGTCGTGACAATGGTAGTTTGCTGCCATTTCCCTTGCTTAGAAAAGGGTAGTCAGTGTACCCTACAACAGGGTCTTGTGTATAGAAAGTAGCCCTAACATACCGATTTAGAGGTGCATCGAGCTCGAGTCTCGTAACCAAGTCAGGATTTGAGATAAAATGGCGACCATACGACACCAAATCAGCATCACCTTGAGCCACAGCTACCATTCCTAGTTCCCTGGTAAATCCACCACTGCAAATGAAAGTTCCCCAATAAGCTCTTCGCCAAGTTCTCATTAGTCGGGCCTCCTCATCTTCACTGCCATGCCTACCTGCCTCTGTCTGGCCATAAGCTGTGTACCGTGGCTGGGTCACATGGAGATAAGCAAGTTTTGAGCCAACATCTTGCTGGAGCTTGTTAAGTCTTTCGACCACTGCCAGGCCTAGGTTGAGAGGATCAGAATCCATGGCATCGAGGTGATCGATTGCTGGTGACATTCTAACACCAACCCGATCTGCACCAATGGCTGCAACCACTGCTTGAACCACTTGAATTAGGAATTTGCATCGGTTTGCAATCGAGCCACCATATTCATCTGTACGGTCATTTATTCCATCCTTTAAGAACTGGTCAATGAGGTAGCCATGGGCTCCATGGATTTCAATACCATCAAAACCTGAACACACAGAACAGAACAAGTCTCCTTCTAAATACTTCAAACAGACACCAAATGGCAACTAAATTTTTTGAAGTCAAATCTTAGATTCTCATATGGCATCATGACAACAAATGTTAATATAAAACCCTTCTAATTTTGATATAGCCCCAGAAATGAACAGAATCAGAGTTACTCAATGAGCCGCATGTTATTAAACTGCAAGGAATGATATGAATGAAACTATAGATAATTGACAAAGATATAATAAATTTTGCATATCTGGTTAACCTTCTATGAATGTTAACCTCTAAATACGATGCATATTTGACCTCATTAGATTGTTACTTATTCCGAACTTCTTGAATATGATATCTGATCTATATAGTAGATTTTTCAAAGGATGAATTTACCTGCTTCAATGGCATTGAGTGCTGACTGGCGATAGTGTTCCACCACCTCTGCTATCTCGTAGGTTGCCAGTGCACGAGGCTCTGGGTAGGTCCCATGCGTTGCATCTGGCATTAGTATTCTCCATCTCTTTGAGATGGGCTTGCTCGTGGATGATATTGGTGCAGCCCCACCAGGTTGATACACTGAAATTGATCAGAGCCTCTATCAATAAAAGTACTTTTTAACTGAAAAGCCAATATATACTGGAATCTTACCTGTACTAAGATACTTAATTTTGCTTGTAAAGCAATATTTACATGACTTCTAGCTATGGATTATGGGGAACTCTTAAATCAGCCTGCTAAATGGCCAATAAATTCACTCCCCTATCTCAATTGCAAGGGTCTTTGACAGAAAATCTCGACTAGTTTCGTAAAGTGAACTATTATTAAGGAATTGTAGTCACCCATAAACCATCATGCAAAAGGATGTTGCTAGTTCTTCTAAATGCAAGCTTTTATATACATTGGAAAAAACAACCTTTCAAACTGATTGAATCTAACCTAGTCAGTCACGCTTGATACTCCCAACCAAGAGGTTCAGGAAATGATTGATCTCTTACATGTTTCCTCTCTTTGAGGATTGTATTCTACTGTTTTTTTATTCCTCCCTTTTGGAGATCTATGCTCCTCTAATTTGGGGCTTATGATTCAGTCTGACTTTATTTTAATTGTGATATACAAGATTTACAATAGTGATCAATTATTACATATAAATAATTACCTTCCAAAAATTAATGGCACATCCTTGTTAAAAAAAATATTTAGATAACTTGAAGCATTATTTGGACTTGATGACAGTGATGTGATCTAATAATTTTATTGTGACTATAATTCTTAAACTAATTAATTGGGACTGCATCAATTGATATATTATTATGTCACTAAATTAGGTTAGTTTTTTAGGTCCCAATAACGTTACTCTAAATCATATGGCCTAATCATTATTGTTATGGAAATAATAATGGATGCCAAAATTGAATGGGATTTACTCCTTAACATAAGATTAATTCAAAAAATTAGATCCAAATAATATTGTTATGAAATAATTGGTAGTATATATGTATGTTATCCAACCCAATTAATAATATTAAGAAATAATTCATGGTTTATATGTCATCCAAACGATTATGGAGTGTCTGGTAGTGTGGATGGAGAAATAAAATGATGGAAAGGGAGAGTGATACACTTTCTATCTTTCAAATGAGGAATTTTTTCATCCCTCCTTTGTGTTTGTCTCAGGAGAGATAGAAAGTAGTAAGGATTGATTTTTTTGTATTTATAAGATGAAAAAATAAAAGGATGAAATAAATATAGATACGTATTTTACCATTACATCTATATATGAAATTAATATATATATAATATGTAATTGATAAATATCATATGTGCACATATCAAATGATATTTAGGCAATAACATACATTTTCAATACATATAATTAATTTTTTATCCACTTTTCCTTCCAAGTAACGAGGGATTGATTTTAATGTGTTGGAAAGAAAGTTAATCATTCACATTTCTATCCTTCTTATTTTTCTTCTTTTATTTTATTTATTTCTCCAACTTTTTATCCATCTAATTTTTCATCTTTTTATTTCTGTAGGGTACCAAACAAAGCATTAATGTAGACCATTTGAAGTTGGTTGAGAATGAAAGCATACATACCTTGATGAGATGCTCGGCCGACATGCCACAGTTGACAGAATATAACACCACCCTTGCCATGGACTGCATCCACCACTTTCTTCCATGCCTCCACTTGTTCTTTTGAGTATATTCCCGGCACGTGCGGAAACCTGGTCGGTCCCACTGTAAAATATCAGCAAATGCATGGGGTCCCAACCCAATAAGCAGCTTCACCCGACCCGTCTGTCAACTGCTCATGACGGGCCACATCTTGTCGAATGGGTCTACTAGTAGCCATTGGGCCGGCCCTAATGGCTTAATTTGATGAATATTAACTTACCTTTTTTGAGTCTTTATCCTTTTCTTTATTTTTTTTTCCAATTTTCTTGGACCAATAAATTGTGTTGCAGGCTTCCTCGACAGGCCACCTTTGCAGACAAAAAACTACAGGCCACGTTTGACTCGTTGGGCTATGGAGCGGCCCACAAACTTTCAAGGAGAGCCGATCCAACCCATAACCCGTTGGAGTGACATGATGATGGGTCTCCTGTTCATGGGTCACATATCATTACTTCCGCCTATCCTATTCTTTCCTGTATATCCTAGGCACGTGCGAAAATCCATTTTTTTTTTTTTGTTTGGTAAGTGCATGTGCGGAAACCTGGTCCCACTTAGAAATATCAGCACATGCTGGGCCGAGGGCTACCAAGCACTAAACTAAACACGTGGCTGAATGCGACTTGTTGGTAGATCACTTCCAATGTTGAAAAGAAAAAGAAAAAAAAAATGAAAGGCTGAAACTATGAAATTACCCGGCGGCTGTGGGTGAGATCATCGTCCCCTCGGTGATGAGAAATCCACCGTCAGTTGCTCTCTGCGTGTAGTATTCAACGAGGGCTGGCTGTGGAATTCCATTCAAAGCTCTGCACCGTGTCATAGGCGCTAGCACCACCCTGCCACCAGTACCAGTACACAATTTACGCAAATACGTTAATTTGTTAGATCTCACATGGGCAAAATTCGTCACAAATTTTAACCACCTCCGAGGAGGAGGAGGAGGAAGAGGACTCGTATCTCCGATCCGATGTCTTCACAGAGATTCATTAAAACTGGAGAGAATTTTATGACAAAATTACCCCCTTTTGTCTCCGAAAAAACAGGACCCACCCAATAATAAGAGAAAGAAAGCAGGAGTCGACAAACCTGTGAGAGAGATTGAACTTGCCCATTTTGTATGGAGAAAAGAGAGGATGAGGTTTTCTTTGATCCGATGACGTTCCGGCCATTGTTGGAGTATTTTTTTATTTTGGTGCTGGTCTGAGGACGAATTGAGGAGATAAAGAAAAGTGGGAGAGCATATTAATTATACAGTGCTGAGGAGTTTTTCAGTAAAGAGTCTCGAGTCTTGAGTGATAGTGGTCGGTGGGGCCCCACATAGCGTCGGACGGTGTGTGATTTACGTGATGATTTTGCTTTTGGGAATGAAGGTGGGCGCATTTGTTCATTCGGATTTGAGAGAAAATAAAGTCACGAGGTTTTGGTTTTTATTGTGAAAAATAATAATTAAATTGTTAGAATCAAGGTAACTAGACTTACCTGGAAAATTAAGATAATACGATTATTTCTGTATCTTTGTGTCTGACAAGATTCTTTGTATTAAATACATAAAGTATAACATATAAAAATCGGACATATAATATATTAGATTTGAGAGCTTTCTTGGTATGCTGTACATTGACACAGGAGTCGGATCCTAATAATGGAGTGTTAATGACAATCCGTCCAATCCATACATAAGTTAGTGGGCTAGATATACCCTTTGTTTACAAGGATTATTAAAGGATTGAATAATATTGATTAACCTATTTAAGCATATTAAGATGTATTGGAGCGGAGATTTACTGGATTTGATCTTATGTGAGTATCTCACTTAAACCATCGTTCCACCATTATTGCTCAACACCAATTCTTTACCATCTATATAATAAAGTAACTTCTAATTCAAATTTTAAAAAATAAATAAAATAATTTTTATTTTTCGCGGTTCAAATCGCTTTAAATTTTACTTTAAAGTTAATCTAATGATTAATATTAACACCCTAAATTTAATAAAAAAAACATGTCCATAAATGCATGTTTGAAATGACTTTTTAAAAGTACTTATAAAAATTATTTTTTATAAACACTTTAAAAAAATAGTGTTTACAACGGTCACACCACTACTTCTACCACCCATCACCCCCGTCACCTCTACCACGACCACCAGCGCCACCTTCACCACCACCGTCGCCGCCTTTGCCCCCACTACCATCATCGTCGCCACCACCACCACCGCCGCCGTCGCCCCCACCACCATCGTCGTCGCTGCCACTGCTACTGTCACTGCCACCGCCCCTCCCACCATGGTCGTCGTCGTCGTCATCGCTTTTGCCACTGCCACCACCACCTTTATCTCTATCACCGCCACCATCGCCCCACTACCTTTATCGTCACCACCGCCTCCACTACCTCTACCACCACAATGGCCACAGCCACCACAGTCGCCATCGCCACTACCACCACCACTACTGCCCCCACCACCACCATCGTCACCGTCATCACAACCACCATCACCACTATTGCCACCATCACCGTTTCCTACCACCACCATTGTCTCTCACCCCCCACTATAAATCGATACTTAAATTTATTTTTTTTTCCTCTATATTTGTGATTTGATTTTGGATATGAATATAAATATATTTATTGTTTACCATTTTTTATTATTCTGTGACTTCAGGTACAGATAATAACTAATTTGTTAATATCACAACCTCATTATTAGCAGTAGTTGAATGGTTAAGTTTAATTTTTAGTAACTCAGATATAAGAGGTTTAATCTTTTCTTACAGGTCAGTCACCTTTGTTCTTTAGAAATATAATTTAACTGAGATCAATCATGGTGGTAATCACTGAGCTTGAGAGAGTAATCGATACAAATTTAAACACCTTGTAATAAAAAAATGATAATTCTTTATAAACCAAATTTGTACACCAAAACTTATATTAAATCAACTGCAGTCTTTGGATCAATGATGAAATTCATTGATCTAATGGCTGCAACTGATTTAGTACAAATTTTGGTGCACATGACATTGCTAAAAAAAAATTGATTGAATTTGCTCACCTTCATTAGATGTAAGAAAATATATAAATCAAATGTGGCTACCACCACCATCTCTTCCTATCTCTGCCACCACGACAACCATAACCCTGCCAATTCTTCCCATTGCAACTGCCACTATCTCCACCACTTGATTATCATCAGCCGATATGAAAGCCACCTTGTGGCCCTTTTTCAAGAAAAATGAAAGCAAAAATTGGTGAAGGATTACATTTTTGCCAATAAGATCAAACATTTTTTTAGTCGTTAAGCACGCGTATGATACACTTGTGTGCTACAGTCCAAGTTAAATATGATCATTTTATTTTTATTATTATTATTATCTAATTGTTCTTTAGGATGCCATAATCAACGTGATTTCAGTTACTATATAAGCGCGTTCTGTCATACGAATATTTTGAATTTTAAATTAATATTTTTCATCTTTAAAATATTTTCTCTTCCAAGCACTCAAATTTTTAGTTTTAAAATATTCGAAGACTCATATTTCATTTCAGATCAAGATATTCGAAAGTTTTCGAGAATTATATATATATCATCGGTGATTGTTATTATTTTAATTTTTAATAAAATTCAGTAATACCCCCTCTAGTTTATCATATCTTCAAGAATACTCCTTCTACCTTCTGAATCTTCACTGACACCCCTATAAGATTAAAAGCTTTAACTAGAATACAATTTTACTAAATTGCGCATGATATATTTTTTTTAAAAAAAATTATCTACATTCCCTCTAGATAGATATATTTTCAACGAGACTCCTCTATTTTATAATTTTTTTTACTTATTAAAATTCGAACCGATTAAAATTTGGTTCGAGTCGAATAAAATTCATTGTTAATCTACATAAATCAAATTTTAATCAAATCTCATTTAATTTTAATCGGTCTGAATTTTGATACTTAAAAAAGTATAAATTTTAATCAACTGAAATTTTAATACGTAAAAAATGAATTTTAATCAACTTGAATCGAATTTTAATTGACAAGAATTTTAATAAGTAAAAAAATATAAATTTTAATTGACTCGAATTGAATTTTATAGGGTCAAATTTTAATATGTAAAAAGAATTTAATTAGCTCGAATTTTAATATGTAAAAAAATAAATTTTTAATCGAATTATTTGGGGTTTATGTAGGATTAATTTTGGTATTTTAGATAAAAAATTTTAATAGAAATGGTAGTTTAATGGTAGGGGTGTTTGTGATATTTAAATATAAACTAAAAAAAGGTGTCAACGATGCTTTGGATGATAGATAATATATCCTTGAAGATATGATAAAATAAAGGGGTGTCTGAAATTTTTTCCTTAATTTTTTTTGCTTTAAAGACTATATTCTAATCAATACATAACATTTTTTTTTCATGAAAATTATCAAATATTTTGACTCTCATTGATTTAATATATTTTTAACTAGAATTTATCCATATTATTTACTTTGTTTTGAATGTATTTATTTTAATAAATTATAGATTTTCAAAACTATTTTAGGCTAGTTCATCCGTATTAATAACACTTTAATTTCTATTATATGGAACATGAATTTATCTATACTTTATTTTTCATGATATTTTTGGTGAATTTTAATAAAACTTAGATTTTCAAAACTATTTTAGGTGAATTTATCTATACTAATAAAACTTTAATTTTTATTATATTTTAGGTGAATTTTTCAGTATTATAAATTTTAATTTTCGTGATTTTTTTTGTTTTTAATTTATCTATTTTAATAAATTTTTTATTTTCAAAATAATTTTAGGTCAATTTATTGGTATTAATAAACTTATTTTTTATAATATTTTAGATAAATTTATTTGCTTTAATGATTTTAATATTTTAAGTGAATTATCTGTTTTAATAAAAACTTTGATTTTTATAATATATGACATAAATTATTTATATTAATAAAAATTTCATTTGTATGATTAAAAGAGAAAAGACCATTGTGGTAATCGGATTTTGTTTTAGATAGATAAACACAACACAAAAAATTATCTGAAAATAACAAAAATATACATTGAATAATGTATTTCTCAAATATTATGATTCTCAAAAACTTACTTGAAAACCAAACATTTCGAATGATCTCTAAAAAAAAATTGATTCAGTAAATGTGCGATCAAGAACCCTATAATACACCCTTTGTAGTGAACAAGGCTCAAAGTTTGTCTTAAGGGAAATATGACTTACAATTGTTTTTTAAAGCAAAATCATGATTGATAGAGAGTAGAATGAGTGATAAAAAAAAGATAGGAAATATAATGTGCATTTTGTTCCTGATTTGTAGTGATCTTAATTTCAAAATTAACGAGAAGTTAGGAACGTGAATCTGAAGAGGCAATAAGGTTACGTTACTCGTACCTAGTAACTGGTTTCACAAGGGTGTTTTTGTCCACCATTTTTTTTGTGGACTACCAATCATAAAGACAGACCATCCACACGCAGAACTAAGGGATTTATGAAAGATAAATTTTTCATGGTCTAAATTTAAGGAGTTGCTAAGATTTGAATTTAATACATATAAGTTTACAACTCGTTTCTATTACCACTTAAACTACTCTTTAGATTTATCTCTCGTTTGTTCACAAAGACTTGATCTCTATCTCACTCTTTTTCTATAGGCATCCATATTCTTGAATTACTTGATTAACTAATGCTAGTGAAATTAAGTTTTTTAATTTTACTTTGTGTCATTAGATGATGAAATTAAATTAAATGGATAATATAATGTTTTGTTTGGTATGATGAACAAAATGAAAGAATAAAAAGTTAGAAAGATAAAAAGTTAGAGGAATAGATAAAACATCATATTTGGTAAGGAAGGAAAATAGAAATGATGGAAAAGTGAATAGATTAATTTTTCTTTCAACTCACCAATATCAATTCCTTTAAAATTGAGAAGAAAAATGAATAAAAAGTTAATTATGTATGTTAAAATGTATATTGTTTGTCTATATATCTTTTGATATATATATATATATATATCATATTTATAAATTGCTTATTATGTATACATTAATTTTATATATAGATATAATGGTAAAATATGTATTTATATTTTTTATAATAAAAATAAAATAAAAACTTTTTCATTTTATCAAACACAAAAAAAAAAAAAATTC